CGAAATTGTTGTGCGTTGTGCTTCGGACTTAAATATATTTTAACGGTTTTTTGCATAGTACTCAAGTGGAATACTATGTGTTCCATTATTAAGTTCGTAATAATAATTGGTCTCCACCCGTACTTAAAATTTTGATCTGTTTCCCATACTGCAAGAACCTACTAATTTTTAAAATTGTCTTAAATATCATAAAGGAACAAATTGTTTGATAGTAAAAAAATGTACATTCTTGCAGGTTCTGGAACAGACCTTTGTTAAGGGGTAAGCAGAATAGATCCGTTAACGCAATCATTCTCCTTAGCAGAATGCTCGCGTTGAGCCATCCGTTGCGTTATGTGTTATCGAAAATACAACTACCACAAGGAAACGATAACACAAACGCTTGAAGTTGTTGTGCGCTGCCCTTCGGAGTTAAATATATTTTAACTTTTTGCATGCGTTAACGCGATAACAAAAAACGCTCAAAGCGAACATTCTGTTTAGCCCTTAACAAAGTAATTACTTCCAGACGAACATGTTAAAAACATAATTTTCATTTCAATTAAATTTAAATATCTTTCAATTTATACTGAATTTATTTGACATAGTATTCAAAACATTACACAAAGTATATATTTTGATTTGATGGAACAAGCCACCTTGAGAAAAATTGTAATCAGTTGGTAGCTGTGCCCTACCTTATATAATAATTTTACCATGGGTGTAACTCATATTTCAATCATAAACTTAAATAATAAAAAAACATGAAAATATTTAAAAAAATAAACATTTAAATTTTTCAGCATAATTCATTATTTTTTTATTTAAAGAATTCTTTTAACTATATAAAACAATCCTATATTTTCATATACACTGAAATTTTGTCCCTTTTTTTATTTAAATAAAAAATTCTATCTTCTCTTTAGTTTATTTATGGTCGTATTAATCGAATATTTTCGATTAACTGTGCATATCCCACATTAAACGATTAATCACTAATCGAACTATAGATCCCTAACCGGAAAAGGTACAATTTTAACCAACCCTATACCAGAGAAAAAAACCCAACAACAAATAAAAACACACAAATGTAAACAAAAAATATTCAAATGCATATTTATTGTTTATAATAAATTAAAAAAAAAACAACAACTATTGTTGTTTCATAACATGTTTTTGTTTTGAAAAAAAAAACAAGTAACCACCGTAAAGCAGATTCTTTACTTGTTATCAGAGCAACCTTTTCCCACCTACTATACCAGCCCGCCGCTTTGTTGTCTATAGTTTGTTTGTTTACACACGAACTAGTTTTTCTTGTGTGTGATAGCTAGGCGGCAGGTATTTTTCCAGTTCAATGGATGTTTCTAGAAACCAACACAAAACAAATTGACTAAGCTTAATCGTAGAGGTTAGGTTAGATTTTTTTGAATTGGTATTTTGACATTATATACAATGTAATAAAATCTATATGACATTTCAGAAAATGTCATAGTCAGATTTTTATATATTGAAAATGTGTTTTTTCCAATATGATTTCGAAAATATTTCCAGAGAATAGAAAATAATCAAAATGTAAATATTATGATTACGCCGGTGGTTACTTATCTGCTATTTGCACTTGACCATCATTAACAGTGACGCCGTGTGGGGGGTATTTTAAGCCGTCGTTTTGCGATTTGAACGGCGTTCACCATACTGTCAATTAGTGCAGCCGGTAAATGACTAAGAACGTATCGTAAAAACACATTATTTTGCCTATTGACTAATTGATTATTTCGGATTTAAGAGAAATGGTATTTATTTAGAAAAAATTAATTAAAGTGTCGGTCTGAAGCTATTTTATATTGGGAAAAAAATCTTTTTAATTGCAATAATTACCTTTAAATCAAATATACACAACAATGGTGCTTTTGTCATTGTAAAATAATGTATTTTAAGCCATGGTACTTAAATTGTCTTGTATTGCCCAAGAAAATATGTTAAAATACAATTTGAGCACACCCCGTAGAAAATACTCTCTTGCATGACAATTTCGTTGACGAAACGACAAGGTAAGTGAATCTGTCGTTAACGAAAAGTAGAGAGTTTAGTCGCCGAAGTTGTCATATAAAACCATATCGCTTACCCTGTCGCCCAAGTTGTCTTGCATGAATACTTCGAAACTTGTGTGAAAATTTCGTGAACGATTTCACATTGTTATCAGCAAAGTGTCTTCGAGGAAATGCCATGGTCTTACACGATTCGGTAATGCAAGACACTTTCTATTGGGATGATCATCGTCCTAACAAGCAAAACTCAAAAAAAATATGCAAAGATAAGCCCGGACAGAAGTTTAACCTATGTTCTCATAATAACACAAAAAGTGTTGCCAGACCAGACGGATATATCATCAAAATTGTTTTGAGGTTTACTTCAAAATGTGCAATACAACGGTATATGGCTCGCTTCGCTTAATCTCCCTCCTGACCACTCAATTTGCATATAGAAAAATTCATTCAAAAATACATGCACCACCACGTTGGGCGCCATCCGATTCACCATGGACTATATTCGTTCTGTGCAAACTGTATGCTGAGCACAACCGGAAGCAATATAGACTTCAGACTGTAAAAGCGCATCATAATGATGATCTGAGGAGCCGATGATATTCCTTATTGTCGCAATGTTTTTGCCGTATGCGCATATAAAAATTCCATTCGAACATTTATCTCGACCATAAAAATACATATACCCCCACGTAGGGCGCCACTATACTTATATGACGTAGCGTTTCGATAAAGACTCTATTTTTTACGGTAGTCCTCAGAAATAGATTATGCTGGAAAGATCATTGTCTTTGGAATATATTAAAAAATAACATACACATTTTTATTAGTTATATCCCGCCGTTTTAAAGGTTACGGTTAAATAAAAATTCATATAGATTTTTTTTACCGGGTTAACCAACTTTATGAGGATTTGTTTGACATATATGCAAAGGAATTGACAAATGAATCCCACTGGGTTAACGAAATCCGGTTAAATGTAAACGTACTATACATTCTTAAGTTAAAGTTTCTAATAAAATAAAAATTCCTTTTATTTTAAACCGAGAGTGGATTCCTAGAGATTCCTACCACCCAATTTTTTTATTTCACCAGTACACAAAATTTTAAAATTCCTTCTGTTAGCATTCCTGGACGAGTGATCGTGGCAGACTTAAATCTGTCCAAACAGATAAATATTAGATGATCGAGTATCTAATATACTTTAAATTGCAATTGGATGGAAAAAATGACGAACTTCGATTACCTTCTTGAGGAGACTGAAGAGAATGGTGCCAATCAATTAACATTATGTGTTGATGGTTGGACAGTTCCTGCTGAGATACTTCTGCCTTGTTATCTATAGTAGGATACAGTAAAGACAATATATCCCTCATAGCTTCCGATGTAATAAAAATAGTATTTCATTAGACTTTAAAATATTACCGAAATCAGTATAACCTTAGCATCGACATGGGGTATCCGAATCCATGAAAATGTAATAAAGTCTTCTTGAATTTCCGACATTAAGAAGAACATTTCACTGCAAATACTTCCAATTTGAGACAACTAGAATCTGGATACATCAATGTTTTAAATTTCTATATAGAAAAAATGTTCCTGGACTCCTCAACAAGTATTCTCAAATTATGGGGACCAGATTTTACAATGGATTACAATTAGATTTACTTATAAATATATAAAATGAGTTAAAAAGTATTTAAATACGACAGAGACCAATTTCCCGAAGCGATTACATATTAAACATAGCAAAGAAGTAGACATAAATCAAATACCGGGTTAACCTACCTTATGAGGATTTATTTGACATATATGTCAAGGAATTGACAGTTGAAACCCACTGGGTTAACGAAATCCGGTTAAATGTAAACGTAAAACTATGTCGACTATGTTTTACAAGGATATTTTACAACCCATAGCCCACAAGAAATAATAAAAATCAGCCACTTTTGAAGTTAAATTTTCGTAAAATTAACAGTTTACTTTCTTTATATCGTCCAGAAACGCTGAAAATTATTAATTTAATAATTATATATATATTTTTTTTTTTGACTGAAATTTGTTACCCATTTAGAATTCAAAATATAAAATAATAGATAATTCGATTAGAAAATGAGTCTAAAATCCAGAAAATACCGAAAATGTGGGAAGTGATATGGGTTTCCTTCCAAGATTCGTATTTTTATTTAATTATTTCACAGAAATCATTTAAAGAAATGTTAGTAATGCAGTAATATGGTATTATTTGTATCGTACATATATAAAGAAAGATGCAGCATATTGCTCCGCTCTTGCTGCCACCTCCCCCACAAATCTTATAATAAAATCGTCATCAATCCTTAAAATAAATTTTAAAATAATATTACTTAAACGTCTTATTAATCATGTTTTATATTAAAAATAAAGCCAAAACTACTTAATTGTTTATATATAATTCAATATAATTAATATCCAATAAATATTTATCATTTTGGTTCTCCATTTAAGACCCCAAACACACATTTTCTTTATTATCTCTCACAATACCCAATTCCACGTTACGTTGCGTTACTTAATATTACCACAGCAACTAATCAGAAACTACAGTTTGCTGACGCTATACTGAAACGTGTCCAAAAACAAATAACAAAGTCCCCCAATCACCATTCGAACGCCGTTCGACGCCATTTTTTACTGCTCATGAGCATCATGGCATCATGGAATAGATTCATTACCACTGCACTATTCGATTATTCGTCGCCCTATACCAGAAAAAAGAAATTATTTACAGCCGCCGCCATTTGATTCAAGCTGGATTTTATCTGCCGCCAGTTGGGACAAAGAGAGCAATACAGCAAAGCACAGCAGATTTAGTGAAATTTATTCGCAGTTATTTAATTTTCGAGAAAAGAAACAAAAAAACTAGAAAACTAAAATCAATTGAAATAATAAACTAAATAGAAGACCAACCAACACTTCGTTCGTACGCTACTCGCTCGCTCGTTCGCTACACAATGAGTTACCAAGCCGATGTCTTAAATGCTGCTCACTTGGAATTGCAGGGGGGAAATGGCGCTGAATTGCGCCGTCCCTTCGACCCCACTGCTCACGACTTGGAGCCAACGTTTCGTTTGACGCGTTTTGCTGATTTGAAGGGTCGTGGTTGTAAAGTGCCCCAAGAGGTGTTGGGCAAGTTGGTGTCGGCCCTGCAACAGGACTACTCGCTGCAAGATCAAGATGCTCAATTCATGAATATGGCCATACCCCGCATTGGCATTGGTCTAGATTGTTCGGTAATTCCGTTGCGCCACGGTGGCCTTTGTCTGGTACAGACGACCGATTTCTTCTACCCCATTGTCGATGATCCCTATATGATGGGTAAGATTGCCTGTGCCAATGTGTTGAGTGACCTGTACGCCATGGGTGTTACGGATTGTGATAACATGTTGATGCTATTGGCCGTCAGCACCAAGATGACGGAGAAGGAACGTGATGTTGTAATCCCCTTGATTATGCGTGGCTTTAAGGATTCAGCTCTGGAGGCAGGTACCACTGTGACGGGTGGCCAGAGTGTGGTGAATCCTTGGTGTACAATTGGTGGTGTGGCGTCGACCATTTGCCAGCCGAATGAGTACATTGTGCCCGACAATGCCGTGGTGGGTGATGTGTTGGTGCTAACAAAACCCTTGGGTACCCAGGTGGCAGTGAATGCCCACCAGTGGCTGGATCAGCCCGAACGTTGGAATCGTATTAAGTTGGTCGTTTCCGAGGAGGATGTACGCAAAGCCTATCACCGTGCCATGAATTCGATGGCCCGCCTCAACCGCACGGCTGCCCGTCTTATGCACAAATACAATGCCCATGGTGCTACGGACATTACCGGCTTCGGTTTGCTGGGTCATGCCCAGACTTTGGCCTCCCATCAGAAGAAGGATGTCTCCTTTGTTATTCACAATCTGCCGGTTATTTCGAAAATGGCTGCCGTGGCCAAGGCCTGTGGTAACATGTTCCAATTGTTGCAGGGTCACTCGGCCGAAACCTCTGGTGGTCTGCTCATCTGCTTGCCTCGTGAACAAGCCGCCGCCTACTGCAAAGACATTGAGAAACAAGAAGGCTATCAGGCCTGGATTATTGGCATCGTTGAGAAGGGCAACAAGACAGCCCGTATCATTGACAAACCCCGTGTCATTGAAGTGCCCGCCAAGGACTAAGATAACCAACTCGTGTACTAACTAAAAAACTACTTTGTAAGAGAACCCGCAAGAAACCGATTCGAATGATATTCGCATTCGATTCAATGATGAGTGAGTGAGTAAATAGAAGGATTAGAGTAGAGGAGGTTAGAAAGAGGGGTGCTGTCGCCAACGTTTGTAATTTTAAATGTAAATCTTAAACACAAAAATATGTATCTTCTTCCGCATCTTAGAATACAACAACAGCAACAACGACTTTGCTTTCAAGAAAATTGTCATTGGGTTATATGTCGTCGTCGACATCTGTCTTTAGCATTTAAATCAGAAGGAAAAACAATTCTCTACACTTCTTTTTTTAAATAATTTTAAATTCTTACAACGCTTCAATATTTTTTACAACAAACAATTTAAAAAACAGATTTTATTAAAAACAAAAGGTATAGCTTGAAAAAGGATTATTCTTCTTTGTAATACACTATTATTATAACTACTACTTATAATTATTACAATTACGATTATAATTATAATTCATCTAAGATATAGATATTGAGCATTAATTATATATTGTTGTGTATGATATATGTATATATGTACATGTATTATCACTTGCCTCAGAAGAAAAACTAAAAAACAAAAATACTGAAAAATGATAAGTCGTCCCTATTTTGT